CTTTAAGCAGATATGAACATATACCATATTTCAATATTCATTTTATGAGAGAGGTACTGTGATTCTTGGCTCATATAAATCCTAAAAAAAATGTAGGCACTTTCCTACATGACCTTCCCCTTTAATTACAGTAGCATATTTATAAGCTACGAAGTGTGCATCCAAGATTAGTTTTCCTAATTTACAGAATGGGAAAGGGAGCCATTTTTAAAAAGGGCATTACATGCACATGATGGAACACCAGCATCCAAAAGAGATAAATGAATTACAATGAATCATTAGTTTCTCCCATAAAACTGAAAAGTGAAAACAAGTATTATATACTCATATTACAAATTCTATATAATTTAAATAAAAAATAAACATGTGTGTATTTATAAAACAATACAAATAATCATTTCTCCAGAATTCTCTCAAAATAGATTGCTATGTTTCAGATTCATTTAAATTTATTAAAATGTCTAGACATTAACATTTATCATCATCTAGAGATCCCCACTGTAACAGGTGGACACCTGTCTTTTCAATACTATGATATAAAGTTATTTATTTTAAAAAAATACACATGGCTGGATACTTTTCTACTTCTAAATACTGAAGTAACTAATATTTTTTATACTAATACTTCTGGAACATGGGGTTGGTTTTTTTTGCTTAACTATTTTGATCTGTATTTTTAGTATGCAGTAATCTCATATTATGACACTGTATTTTTGTAGTATGTGGCCAGACTTGGGTAATGTAATGATTTTTGATGTTTAATACTTTAGATACCATGGATTTTGAATGAGCTGAATGTTAGATGCTCTGCTGAGAATCTTTAAATATTGATAATACTTACCAATTGTTTAAATGGCTCTGACATACAACTGCAGCTAACTATGCATATTAATGCTATGAAGCAAACAAGTAGATTCAAGGAGGAAAACTTTTAGATAATTAAGGCTAAACTGACTTTCCTCCTTGTGAAGAATTAAACAAAACATGCAGTATATCACAAATATGGAATTATATGTACCATATGCATTCAGTTAAGATTATTTTTGCCCATTTGAAGAACCACCAGACACTGTAAGTGAACAATACTTTTTTTGCATTAACAAAGCTTTTTTCAAGCCTGTTTGCCTCAGATTTATTAGGTTCTTGATTTTGTAGATACTCTGAATTAGGCAAAACCTTAAGGGGAATGTTCATTACAAAGTATGCAATTGTCAAAATAAGTGCTGTAATTTGTGTGACCCATCATGAAAATGCCCAATGAAACTGACATAGGGATTACATTCACTGTTAAATTACTAAAATCTACCAATTGTAATGCTTCAAGACTGTTTATTTTTTCCAATAGAAAAATAAATCTCATACATTTGAACTGGTACACAAAACTGGGATAAAATTTATCAGATTTCTTGATAGCACCATTTACACATTCTTTAAAGTAAACATTAATATGCACTTTCTTAGAAAGCGATATAAATATATAGATATATAAATACAGGACTTGCTAACCTCTGTTAACCATCTGAATGTGATGGAATAATCTATCTCTACTGTGCAGGTAGGCTTGTGCATGGTGGTGTGGCAATATTTTAAAGGTTTGTTACAGATGTGATGGGAAGCTGGAAGGAGTCGAATAAGCAGAAAAAAGAGCTTAGATCTACTGTAAGCAATGAGTCGGAATGAGCCGTTAAAGGTTAGAATTTATCTTTGTTTCTGATCATTCAATGAGAAAAATGACTTCCACGGAAATAGATAAGATTTAAACTGCTTGTAGAAAGGGGTGAAGTGGTGGTGGTGGGTGGAATAGGATTGAAAGTCCTACAGGTAATAGCAATAACTGGAAGTGCAGACGAAATAGGTCTTCAGTGCAAAGAGGAAGGCAGCCATTTAAAAAGTCTAAGTGCAATGTTGTGGTGCTGAAAGAAAAGCTCCAGGTGATAAAAGAAAAACAAAACAAATCAAAATTAAAAAAAAACTGCAATGCAACTTCAAGCAGTAATTTGTGGTGCTGAAAGGACAGCTCCCAGCGTTGAGGAAAAGATCTTGGATCTAGAATGAGGTGTCCAATCTGTATGATAAACAGCACACTGTGTCTCAGAGCGCCTATTCAATCTCAGTAAGTAAATGAAATATTGATTGAAAGTGACCCTGAAACAGAATGCATTAAAAAGACATAGAAAGCTGCAGAACTGAGGTAATTCTTATTCAGTGTGTTCACCAGCCTCCCTATAGTAAAACAAATCTATAAATAGGTGCATTTTATAAGATGTTTGGCCCTTGTATCATTAGTTTTCTCCATTTTAAATCACTTTAGTGGAACAGCCTTTGCTGTACACATGATGAGCTTTGAAACCATATACTAATTGCTTTGCAATAAGTTAAATCTTTTTACAAATCAATACTATATGATCTATAAATTTCAAAATATATTTTAAACAGCATGAAGCTGGCTTACAGATAATTCATGCAAACCCTTGTTATTACTATCACACTTAAAAGGTGAATAATTTCAATTTAGCTATAGGGTTTAACCAACACATATATAATAAAATATACGCATTGGTGGTGGGCCACAAAAGCTCCAGGATTGTCAATTATACTTTTAAAGTTCAACTATGTGCATTTTGTCAACATCAAAAGCTAAAAAAATACACAATGTATTTTTCTTTAAAGGATGATCTCAATTTAACATTAATTCCAGATGAAATGTATGGTTTCCACAGTGGACTAGTAGAATTTTGATATAACAGGTTGAAAGTCTTCTAAGATTAAATAAAACATTTTTAAAGACCCAACATTTGAAATGCTTCTATTATACAACCTAATACATTTTATTTTTTTCATCCCCTTTACCAGTTTAAACTAGGATAGGGCCCCAATAATTGCCTTGCCAGCATCCATGCTGACTCTGAGACAGCATGGACAAATTTACATAGATATTATTCACTGTTAATGTATTATAAATGGTCTGAGACTTGTGACATGCAAGGAAAAAATGAGACGGGAGACAAGTGATGCTACATGATGAACTAAGCACATTTATAATGATAAAATGAGTAAATATAATAGCGGCAATGCTAACCACTGATTTCACGAGATACACTATTTGTCAAAACTTACACAGCTACAGAGTATCGACGATAAATAGTCATTACCAAGTAACACAGTTTACTACAGCTTTTCTCTTTCATTTTAAACAAGCATATCATTCCCTTTTTAATAATTCTCTAAATAAATATTTAGAGACCGAGAACTAAATGAAATAACAATCCTATGTTAAAAACTAAAATGAAAATAAAAATGACTCTACTCTTACAGTTTGACAGAAATGAGTTATTAATAGTGAAGGAGTGGGGGGATGGGGAAGGGAAGGATCAGGGAATTATTTCAAGTTCTCAATGTCCAAAAGTAAATTGCACAGTAAATCAATATGAAATGAAGAGTCCATATAGTTCAATGAACAAAAGGGAAAGTTCATGAGGACAAAGATCACAGTTCAGAGAGAGGCTGGACGAAATTCAGACATGGAGCATCACACTCATTGTTCTTTAATTGGTTGCACAGAAAGGAGCAGCTGGGATGCCATTTAGCTTGCTAGGATGGACGTAATCAATGGGTTGAAGTTGAGATGGAAGTAATTCTCTTTTGAAATTCAGTTGCTCAGCCAGATGATCCAGAGGTAGCCAGCATTTTATTTTTGTCCATTGAATTTAAGACTGCATGCACAGCATGAGGACGTGCTTGGTTATGGATGCCCCTATGAGTGGCCTTGAGTGGGCAAACTCAGAGGTTAACAGATGGTGGGTCAATGGCCTGGGCAGTTGGCACTCAGGAGAGGTACAGAAAAGGGTGACAGTTGTAGGGTCTTGGAAACAAAGACTTAGTCTGAAATGACCTGTCAAAAAGCCTGACAATGGTAGGCCACACTACCTCTCAAGATAAACTGCCTCTTCTAAATAAGCATGCAGGAAATACTGTCTGATTGGTGACATAAAAATGTTCCACAAAACATGCAAATTACTGAGTATCAGAAACTGCATTGGCTGCTAGCGCCATGCTGCAAAGACTCCATCATGGGAGCAAAACAGCTAAATCACAGATAGCTTCACAGTAAAATCTACATTCACAATACTAATAGGTTTCTAGTGTTAACAAATTATACACAATTATAAGCTCTTAAAATGCAACATACTTCTCAAGCAGTTGCAGATAATGAAACATTATCAGCTATCAATAATTTGTTGGCACTTCCACTTTTTTGTTTATAAAATTTCCAATACACTGTACCACAGTTATGTGTCTAAACAGTGAGGATGTTAATGGAGTAATGACTGTTCTACTGGCCAGGCAATGGGATCAGTAGTGATTTCAGTGCTTAAAAACAAATGTACAAACCTCAGGTAGAGGTGGGACTCCATGTGAGAACTTTTGTTGAACTTACAAATGGTGAAGAATGGGCCATGGCCAGCATGCAGCATTATTTCCATTGTCTAGTTCAGATGGAGAACAGGTGCTTTTTATTGAACTGTAAACTTACCAATATAATTTTCCACAGTTTTAACCTTTTAAATATTTTACAGTGCTTTTATGCAACTATATTGCTTTTTGATAATTTTAAATTTTAAAACTTAGTTTCAAAATATTTTTTCCTACTTCACTGTGCCCTAAGCAGGAAGTAAGACTGACATGACAGTGCTTTGGCCTCACTCCATTTTAGGTCACTGACCCCACCATACCCAACCTAACAGTAGTTAATTTAGTGTTAGCTAGAACTAATACTGAAAACTTTACGCATTTCCCTCTCTACATTCAATCATTAAACTACAATAATGCTGGTAAAATGGCAGGCTTAAATCTTACACTAGAAACACCTCTGACAAATATACACAAGCAAAGTATAGAGAACAAAACAGGTCAAGAAAATTTTTTTCTATGAAACATCTGGTAAAACACATTATATTTACATATACACATTGTCAACATAGTCGCATTCATTTGCATAATTATATATTAATAACAGAAAAAACTTCACTTCTGCAAAGTACAGTACATCCTTCTTGAAAATAAGGTAAGGAGGGGTTTAAAACAATCTCACGTTTAGCATGATCAACCCACTTTCTGTGGATTGGCAGCCCGAACTCCTTGCTCATACGTGATCCGTTGTGTTATTAAATACTGTGCGGCCTGGGTTGCAGCTGGTGTTCCAGTAATAGTTACCTTCCGATTCCTTGTGCCAGGAACGAATTCTCCTTTTTTGGAGATCTGTATCCTTGCACCAGTCAACTCTTGGTATTCTACTAATGTTTTCCCTCCTTTTCCAAGTATTGCACCAACTAAATTTTCTGGCACTGCTATTTCAACTACATCCTTTGAGCCATCTGTGGATTTCTCTGTTCCTAGAATGGCGCTGGCAGCTAGAGGAGAAGCAGCTCCAAAATATCCATTGGTTGCAGCAGTAGCAGCAGCCAGGCTACCTAATGCAAATGTCCCCGCCGCACCACCAGCTGTACTGCCACCGGCTGAGGCTTCACTCGCATAGGTGGCCAACAAATTGGCTGCTGCTGCTGCTGGATTGGCACTGGCAGCTGCTGCAGCCAAAGCCCCAGTAGCTGCTGCCTGACTTAGGCCTAACCCTAAAGTATTGAGATTATATCCATAGCTGGCTAAGGTGTTAAGTGCAGAGGTGATGGCCACCAGGTCATTGCCTGTGAAGCCAGATAAAACTGCTGGAAAGGCTGCAACTCCAGCAAGGTTTGCATGTCCTAAGAGCCCTGCCGCAGCTGCAGCTGTTGGTAGTACTTCAGCAGTGTTTGCATAAGGAGATCCCGTTGGATTGGAATTGGCCACTGGACCTGTAACATTAGCATAACTGATATTGAGACAGCTGCCACTCTGAGGATCCTCTTGTATCTTCTGGATGATAAGTTCAACAGCTTTTCGGTTTTGTTCAGGTTCTCCGCTTACAGTAACAACCCTCTCTTGTAAGTTGATCCCATCAGGTTTCTGGGAAAGCTGCACCCAAGCCCCTGACTGCTCCATTATAGCCTTGACTGTAGCACCTCCCTTCCCTATTATCAGACCTGCTGTGCTGTTGGGAACTATTATCTTTACCTGTAATTAAAAAAAATATATATGAATAATACTTCTGTTTTGCACATACAACATAGTTAAATTCTTTATTGCCTGAAATAAGTGGAAAAACTCAAAAGATTATTTTCTTACAAATATAAATTTGAATTAAGAATCAAGCTCATACTTTTAAGTACTTATATGAATTCTTACATAAAATTGTATGTGTTTTGAAAAATCCAGTCATTACAATATATATATATATATATATAATTCTTGGAGCTCATTTAACAGTGAAATTCTTAGACAAATTGAAATTCTATTAGTAAAACAAACAAGCTTATTTTATAATACTTTTGTTCATGATTCATCAAATACTCAATAACAGATCACCTTCTAATAAATCATTGGTCGTCATTCTATATATAGCTCAACAGAATTTCTGTAAACAAATACTTCAGTGAATTAGCAAGCCTTTCGATGGAAGAAAAAGTAATTGGACATGTATCTATTCTAATAGATTATTATATTGTTCATCATTTTTATGATCATTATTTATTTATAAAATGATTATTCTGTTATTTTTTTAACAAAAAGCCCTACTTGACAGTTATCCTTTATTCTCACTAAACTGCATAAATAATCTAGAATGAAAAAGAATAGGGAAACATGGGCATTTGTGTCAAATTTCAGGGAAAATAGTTCTCTATGCAATTTCTCATTGCTAATGATTTAAACTAAAGACATTTAATTATTGATAGTGAAATAACTTCAAATGATTAAAAAAAAACTTCACAGATTTTTGTGCAATTACATTTCAGTAAGAAAAGTGTGCTATCTGTATGCTACTTACATTTACCTAACAATATTCCATTCTAATCACAATAAAGTATGCAAGTATGTTCTTTAATTGAACATGCTACTTGGGATTAAGCCAGACAAACATTTTCCAACAGAAGAATGTTCTGGAAGGCAATTCCTATAATGTAGGAAATTTCTTTGCCAAATCTAATCTATGCTTGCATTTGTTTAATTCCTAATCAACTGCATAGAATTTAGTTTTAAAATTAACTGGCACAGAATACTTACATAGCATATTGTATATCAATACACAACCATTATCTAAGGTGTAGCTTAACACATGCTGAAATTGTATGCAAATCATAAAATGGATCATAAACTTAAGTTTCCCCTGAAAACAATAACACTTGAATTAATCAAGAACAAATCATTCTTCTAATTTGTAAATGTGACTTAGCTCACTACATTGATGTAAATTAAGATTATACTACAGTGACTATCTTCCATTTTAACACATTTCCTATATCTATTTAGCATGTTTTATGGATATCTCATTCTCAATAGAATAATAACTTATGAAGCTTGTATGCCACCTGACTTTCAATAACTCTTGACATCACGGAAATATTAGGACGTTATTTTTCATAGTTAAGCTTGGGATACATATTAACACAGACAGTACAAATCACATTTATTAAATGTTGTCTGCACATGGCTCAATTTTTAAAGTGTCACTGAAACTGGTCTCAGTATTCTCAAGGTACTACACTATGCTTCTAATAGTAACATAGTGGCATTGGTGACCTGTCTGGACAAAAGAGAAAGAGAACTCAGATACATACATAATCAATGTATTTAATTGCTACTTCCCCACCATTCTACACCATCTAATGTGTGAAACACAGTCTCCATATAAACATCTTAATATGAACTTGATTTCTCTACTCTTTCACCTTTTTTTGACAGAATTATCACCTGATAACCACCTGTTCATGTGAGCCAAAGGTGCACGATGGGCAAAGAAAACTTTCAAAGACCTACCAAAATTGCTAATAAACTGTACATTTTAACATAACAGAATAAAGTAATTAAATATATGAGTGACAAGTCACTTGATATTAAGTGAAAACGTAAAATAAAACCAAGTAAATATGACTTTTTCCCTATTAATGATAGAGTTTGGTTCCCTATCTGCTATTCAGAGATTACGTTCTGTAGTTAGCTCAAAAGAAGTTGCATAATAAAGATGTATTCTTTCCCCTAAAAGTTGCTAGATAGTAAGTATTAAAAAAGAAATTCAAATTAGTAAGTTTAATTGTAGCCTCTTTTGGAGTCAAATATACATATATTTGATAAAAATACCAAGAATCCCTTGAATTAGTGAATTACATATTTTGTATGTAAAACTTTCCATCCTTTTTTTAAAAAAAAATCTTGTCCTGTAATAACCTTCACCATTCGCTTTTTGTATATTCTAAAGTTTATTCCAATCTTTAGGAAAACTTCTTTTGAAAGATAAAGTACATATGGGAAAGTACAGCAGAAAACCACAATGCACGTTAAAAACTTGGCCCTTTCAGAATTTGAGATTTTTTTTATATGATTATTGAGGTCTTGTAATAATCTAATTTGCTACCAATGTTTTGTAGCATTTATTACAGTATTCTTTGAAGATTGAATATAATGACATGCAATAATTTAATTTTTCATTTTGATTTACACAGTTCAGAAACTTGATTTTCCTAATTAATATAATTTAATGAGAATAGATTGCCTATTCTTCATTACTTGGAAATCTATAAACTGATTTTCAATCCATATAATATTGACAAAGATGTATTGTAACCATTATTTAAAAAAACAGACTGAAGCATTTTTTAAATCCAGGAGAACGATTTAAAGGCAGATTACGTAGATACCACCCTAATTCACTATTCTATGCAGGAGCAGGAGGCATCACACAATCTGACTTGAAAGATTCTGTAAAAAATAGTTTTAGCCTTCCTGTGGAATTCATTTCCTGATCTGGTACATGTAGTGGAACTGACACCAGCTAATTATGTTAACTACTTCTGGAGAACACTTCTCTTAAGGATATGATTTTTAGGTTTAGGATTTTCAAGAGTTTATAGAACCAAATCTCACCTAGAGTATCTTATACTACTATAGACTGAATGATAACAATGTCTTTATATAAATGGAGACAGTTGTAGACAGTTAGCATGAATGCTAACAATATTTTTTTTCTAAATAATTTGTTTTGGCCGCAAGTGGAATTATAGACAGCAATTATGAGTTCACACTTTTTCTTTCAGCCAGCATGTATAGAAAGTTTTGAGCTTTGTTCCGGATGGAACATGGAAATCCTTGAGTCATTCTAAATTTTGTCTCATCAAGACAAGTGTTAGAAGATTCTAGTGACCCTGCACCCAGTTTGAAATTGATCACTTATTTTTTGTGTACCCTTATCTAGGACAGGGCTTTTCAACCAATGGTACATGTACCACTAGTGGTACTTCAGCACCTGGCAGGTGGTAAGCGACCTAGACAAGTGTAGTGGGGGGGATAAGCAGAAGCAGTGGCACTGCCGATGAGCTGAAGTGGCAGACGTGCTGCACAGGACTGGGGGAGAGTTAGCTGGAACTGTGGTGTTACTGGTACTCTGCTGAGAATCCAGGATCGGTGTGCGTGGCTCCAACTGATCGGCGCTTCTGGCAGCCTCCACTATCACCAGGAGTGGCAGACAGGCCTTGGGATGAGAGAGTCAGCTGGAGCTGCAGAACTGCCAAGGCCCCAGGATTGGCATGCATAGCTACATGATGATTGGCGCTTTCAGCGCACCCAAAAGAGGAGGGGCGAGAGAGGAGAGGATATTAAAGGAGGAGGTTTGAGCAAGAGAGGGAGAGAGAGAAAAAGATGATGGAGAAAGAAAAGGGGATGAAGAAAGAGAGGGAGAAAAAGAGAGGCTTCCAAGCAGAGGGAACAATGAAGGAGCAAAGGCTGTAGAAGGAGAGTCCAGCAGGCAATGAAAGAGAGAGAGAGAGAGAGAGAGAGAGAGAGAGAGAGAGAGAGAGAGAGAGAGAGAGAGAGGAGAGGGAGAGAGAAAGAAGGGCCAACCAGCCATCTGACCACCACGTTAGTGTGCATATTATTAAATATGGATAAATTCCTCATACGTTATCAGTGCAAAAAAAGTGATTCAGCAAAGAAACCCCCACCGAAGAAATTAAACCCAGTACTTTTTTCTTTTTTCTCTTCAAGTTTTTGACACTTCAATAAGCATTGGTAGTCCTCGAATATTGTCATGTCCTAAAAGTTGTACAATCTGTGAAAAGATTGAAAAGCACTGATCTAGGATAGAAAGCATTTGAAATAAGATCATATGTAGTCTACTGCCTCTACCATGCAGAACATTATGATGGATTTGATTAACAAGGTGTGGATGCTGCGGAAGCCACAAAACTAGCAGAAGAAAGGAAGGAAGGGAGGGAGGCCCCCTTTTTTTTGCAACTCACTAAGCAGCTTTTGAAAATTTATGATAAATACTGAAAAATGACAGAGCTTTCAAATTGTAGAATGTTTTTTCCAACTGTGAAAAACAAATGTGCCTTTTACTGCCTACACAACACTATCATTCAAATCCATGCAAAAAGTTAGATTTCATACATTTAAGTAGAAATAATAAAAACAATGAATCAAAACTGTATTCCCACTGCCATCTCTGTATGCTATAAAAGAGAATGAAGGGGGCATCTCATTTAGAATAATTTGATATCTACTTGAAAAGAAATAAACCTTGTGCTTTGCATTTTCATGTTTTTTCTTGCACATTTTAGCCTTTTGCCTTCAAAATACATATACAAATATTTTCTGTGTAATAAGCATATTTTGACTAGTGAAAAGCACACTATATTGATGCATAGTTTTAATATAATCTGTATCTTCGATTTGTTTTTATTCTGTGGTCTAAAGGCACTTTGTACTTCATACATTAATGTTTCATAACTTTCAAATTACATTTGCAAAAGCAACTGATGAATTCTGAATTGCTTCATTTATGTGCTTCAATTTTTTATAATAATAAATGTGGCTGCCTGCACACTGAAATATACAACAAGACTGTGCAATATTTTGGTTTTGATTCCAAAAAAGCACTTCAGTGATGAAAATGAAGAACTTGCCTACAACTTACTAAAGTAGCCACACAATTACTTGGAAATACATGGAAGCTGGCAAAAAAA